GCTGTCCCCGTCACCGTAACTGTAAGACAGCGATCATCCTTGATTCACTCATTACCGCAGTTATACGCCATCAGGCTTATCTTTACTGTCTAACATTGCATCAATGTATTAATAACTGACATGTTTTCCTCCTGGTCAAATCTACTGTGTGGTCTCTGCCTCCACGTCAGTTTTTCAAATCCTGTCGACATATCTAAAGCTCCAAGGTAATTATTCTAAATATCAGCTTTGGCACGGTCGTTATCTACCATTCCGCTCTCGGTAAAATTTATTGGATATCAAAAAATAATTGTATCCGTACCGTAGGATACTGCATAATAGTGTGTATTTTACTGTTAGCGCTTATCTGAGATGGTTATTGAATGACCGTATTATGTGATGAGAACTAGTTAGAGTCATAAAGAACGTTTCTTGTTAGCATACGTATAACTTAATAAAAGCAATAATTACAAGTCTACTCAAAATAATTACTGCACCAGTTGTTTACCAACCAACTAATGATAATTATAACAATAAAAGGTCTTTATTGCACTAAACATTATACAGGGAAAACCAAATTTGTCTGACGGCTTGAGTTCAATGTGTACAAGAGAGAAGTGTGTATCAACACATGCTATACTATAACTATCTAAAACTGTAATGTTTCATCGATGTTGGTATCTCATTCATAAAGAAGAATGAATGTACGGTTCGCCTTAACGCCATTTTGCTATCGTCATCCAATTTAACGGCCTTTCGTCCCTTCAAATTAAACTTTGGATCAGTAGTAGCTCCAGTTTTCTTCTTTTCATGCACCACCCTGCGAATGGTCCACTCTGGAACGCCTGTCATACTTTCACAACGCGCGAGTGCATCTCCCTGCGACATAGTTCTGTTCAGATAATTGAACACGTTGAGCACGATTTCTTTCGCGTCCCTCTTCAGTGCTTTACGAAGCCGTCTACTTGTTCCCTGGCTTTCAGTACTTCCACTCGTGCCATTTGTACTCTCCATGGTTAAGTATAACCAAAACAGTAACCACAGAAACCACAACAATAACAATCACACAACAATTCTTATAAAAACACACAATATGCGATCGCTCAACGAAACACGTTCCAATGCGTTGCCGACGCCTATGAGTCTGCCGGTCGAGGCGCGTCTTTGATTTCATTGGTTCTACCGGCGGAGAACAATCAGCCATTATTTCCATCTCTGTCTGTGCTGTTGACCACCGCAAAGCCACAGAAACGACATATGTCGTACGCTATACGGCTGTACTGGAAGGAAGCCGGGATCGAGCTCTCATCACGTGTTGATCACGCGTATGAGTCATTACAGTTTTAAATAGTTGTAGTATAGAAAGAAATAGAAGCTGGCTGAAGAGCGAAGGTCATCACCACATTGCTTAGCAACGATGACGCAGGAGGTCGTGCAATCTGCCGCGTTGCCGATAATGTTACACCAGAAAGTGTTCGCACAGGCTTCTACAATAAGTTTGGTTACTGTCAAACCTGAGAAGGATGTTGATAAAATCAACACATCCTGAGTTATTGTTACATATTGCGACAGCGAGCGGTCGGAAAATCGCTCATCTATGATCATAGAGGTGGAAACCTTGCCTTGGATCGTACGAGATACGGCGTTGACAAACGAACCAATGTTGAGAAATTTGTGGCGAAAATAGAGCGCAGTTAGGACTGATCCAGAATCGATTCTAAATAGATATGTACGGTCAAAATAAAACCATTATTTGGGCATAGATAATAAACTAACGCATATTTGCAACATGAACTGCTAGACAACGCGGTGAGACGCTTCGCTTCTCACATTATGTGTTCTCGCTGTATACCTACTACAGGTGTTTTGCTTTATGTGTAGACGCTTTTTATTCGCAGCAGTGAGGCACGGCTAATAACGATTCTAACCCGTACAACATTTCACATAGTTCCAAGCTTTCTCATACCTATTTTTTGTATATGCTTATTAGTGATGGAATTACTTGCAAATAAAAGTCGAAGTCCTTGGTAACATTGCATCGGAATGTGTTGTAGGAACCTTTAAAAACAAATATCTCGAAAACTATCAGCTTCAGACACTTCTAACAAGTAAACCTTTTTTGTTGTGGAAATATGAGAAAATAGGTTTTTTCGGTCAGTTTTTGTATACAGGGTAGCACAAAAAGGTTTTGATAAGTTATTTACCAAAATAGTGCTGTAAGTGGCGCCTTCTAGAAGCTTGGCATAAAAAATAACGGATTCTTGTTTCTCATTCTAGAAAACCTCCCTATACCGAGTTTTATGCCAAAATCTGAAATACTTCTCAAGCAATAAGGAAAAATAGAAAATAAAATTGGAACTTTTACACCCTTTATCTCGCAGACTATCAACTTTTGGACTAAGGTATGTTTCGGTTTGTAGTATCTCCAGTTTCGCGATTTCCCAATCTTTCGCATATTTTGTAATCTACACACATGATAAAAATGTCCAATTCCAATGTCCAATAAGCTTTTTTCGTGAAGTTACGTATGAAGATGCTAGAAGCTTGGCGAAACACATGTGTGCATAAAAAATGTTTGATTAGTGACCTGAAAGTCGGTGAATCAACATCTGAGTGATCCGACAGTGTATACTAATTAAAAGCGCGCATAAAAACAAAATAAACAAAAACGAGAGAGAACTGACGTCTGGTGCACGCGTCGGAGAATGGCGAGAGTGGGCCATCAAATACACTCGATAATCTGGGTTGATGGACTTGAGCGGGTGGTACCAGCAGTCGGGTCAATTGATCCAACGTCCGTCACTTTGACGAGACGACAGCGAAGATAAACGTGCGAAACTTGTTGTTGGTGAAGTCGATGCTGCTAAAGAGAAAGGACGATGAACAGATGGCAGAAGTGGATTCCGTTGTCCGAGACTGAAATTCAAATGTTTGTTTTACAACATGATGAATTTACATAGATAGTAGCGATGAAAAGATAGGGCTTGGACGTATGTAAAGGGTGTCTCAGTAACAGCGCCGGATTTGATTCTCAAGGAAAACATTTCTTTTCGAATTAAGCGAGTATTTATATTTCAACATGAAGAGGAATCGTAATCGCCTTGAGTGGTGCAGACAACGGTCACTCTGGGATCAGGAATGGAACAGTATTGTCTTTAGTGACGAGTCTCGATTTTGTTTAGGCATGCACGATGGTCGTGCTAGGGTTAGAAGGCGACGTGGTGAAAGGAGGAATCCACAGTTTTTTGTTGAAAGACATGTTCATCACACTGTTGGAGTTATGATTTGGGGTGCTATAGCTTATGGTTCCAGGTCACCTTTAATCTTCATCAGAGGTAACATGAACGCGCAGCGTTATATCCACGAAGTTCTAGAACCCCATCTTTTACCCTATCTTGAGACCCTGGCAGATCCAACTTTCCAACAAGATAATGCCCGACCACATGTTGCAAGAGTCACAATAGACTTCTTTCAACATAATGATGTCACATTGTTACCATGGCCACCAAGATCTCCCGACTTATCCCCAATTGAGCACGTGTAGGATATGGTGGGTAGGAGATTGGTCAATTTGCAACGTCCTCCTCAGACTCTAGAAGCACTTCGAGAGGAGTTGGTGGTTGCCTGGAATGAGATACCACAGGAGGACATTGACCACCTGATCAAAAGCATGCCTAGGCGCGTTGGAGAATGCGTAGCACATTAGGGTGCATCCACACATTATTAAAGGTCAAAGGGCTTTAAAGCAGTGCAATCATTTTGAAATTTTTATCATTTACTTATTATGCTTCATTAAGTACTTATACAAAATTTTATTAAAATAAAACCATTTAAACTGGGTGTTCGGATTTATATGTCACTTAGTATATATCGATTCTCAAGTTGCAACATCTACCCAGTCAGTTTCACGTCGTTAGCAGTACCTCCATCTTTGACAGTAGTCATGAATACTAATTATACTGTGATCATTTAATTTCATTTAGTTTTTTAAAAACCAAACAGGCAAGTATTAATTTCCAATAAAAATCTTCAAGTCGCACGACCCGGTGTAGCAGTACCACATTGCACGTAGGTCTTTTGATTTCAATATCTCTTAATTTGATAAGAAAACAATTATTAAGGTTTAATGAAGTCCTCGAAGAGGATCATCGGCTGAAGTAGTACCGGTACCATCAGTCTTTCGATTCTTCACATCGACACTGGCTGCTGCATTGTGACAATATGTATTTCCAAAGCTGCATCATCCAGTGGGGTAGTAGGCTCTAATCTTACAATAATAGTAAGATATCTAATAGACAAGTATTAAGTTCTAATGAAGCATCATCGTACTGGTACCATTCCTCTTCCGGTTCTCCTCATCGACCCTGGTTGCTAGCGCACTATCACTTGTCGGTCCGGTACCATTGCACTATGGTGATGAAAAACTCAATACTACCTCCTAGTTTTCCAAGATCTAAACGAAGGTAGTAGCTAATAGTTAAAATACCAAAGATCCGCTAACCGAAGAAGCAGTCGCGTGTAGTACATCCATCTTCGGTAGTACTATTAGTAGCCGTTCCGTAGGAATGGTGTTAATAATCATACGACTGTATTTTAATTTCCTAACATCGAATTATATGCATATCTATCTCAAAGCTGCATCGTCCACTGATGTAGTACTGAATCGCGAGTGGTACCTTCGATATCGCTTTCAGCTTCTAATCATACACTAATACCAACCAGACAAGTATAAAGTACCAATGAAGATCCTGAAACAGCATCGTCGGCTGAAGCAATATCGGTACCATCCGTCTTCCGATTCTTCACACCGACACCGGCTGCTGCATTGCGGCACCGCTAGCGCGCCATCCTCTTTCACTTGTCGTTCCGGCGGCGTCAGGCGGCAGGTACCACCGCGATTCTCTGCCGCGTTACCGCCGATGGTACTCTTCGTCTCTCGAATGGTCATCGCCAGTCGCTTCTTGCCCTATGCACGCGTCGTGTTCGCCGAATCTGTTATTTTCGTTTGCGCGGTGGTTCTCGTGAATCGGATTCGTGGTACCGGTACTGCTACGGCGCTGGCAGTAGTACCACTTAGTAGCGGTAATAATTTTGGATTCGCTATCGAGATTTTGAGGATTCATAATTTTTGATTGGTTGATCGAGCTTAGAGAGAGTCTTGTACGGATTTTTTGAGGTGGTTGCGCGGTGGTACTATGAATAAGATATTTTAATGAGGCACCATTTAAGTACTGCTTAAAATGATTTTATTTATTACTCTGGTGAATTTTATATTAAAGGTGATTTACCTTTTTGGAGAATTTTAGCCTGGATAGATCTTGGAATAGGTACTAAAAATTCATATTTCAAGGTATCGAAAAGCCACTAGCTTCATCGTGGTACTTTTTTAATGCACTACAAATTTTGACATTAAGTGATTAGGTTTTATAAATAGCTTGAAGCCTGACGATACGATTTTTTTTTAGTGTAAGCTAAATATTTTTATCGGGTTGTCAAAATTGTTGAAAACTTGTGTGTCTATTGAAAAAATGTCAAGTTTGAAAATATCAATCAGTAGCATCAATAGCTAACTAAGATGAGGTATTTTGGTAATAAATGTATATAAAAATCGAAAATGCTCAGAATCTATTGTTCTGATTCTATATTTTTTAGAAGCAGAAACATCTTGCTGTAAGAACATTTTTTATTTGCCTTATGAGTTAAGAATGACATGGGCGACTTTTCTCTATTTGGGACTATCAATTGTTAGTCTAACGCTTGATGCTGATACGGATCAATTGGGGTAGATCCCTGCAGTTATTGAATTAATAAACCTTTAAAGGTCGGACTGTACAAGAGAATAAAGGTGTGCGCCCAGTGACGCGGAGAGAAGCCTTTTCTCTGCAGCTCTCCTGCATGTGTCAAACTGTCAAGGCAAATAACGTGTGAACGAATCATTATGTATCTAGTCCTAAAGGTCCTAATATAATTTATTTCATAAAGTAATTTAAGCAAAGAAGACTCTTTATACTTTTTTTAATTCTCTCTAGCTTTCAATGGTCTTTGCCATCATCATCAGGAGCTGCAATTACAATGATAACAGTAGCAACAAAAGTGTAAAATGAATTTAAATTGAATCAACTTACAGTAGTATGTGAGGATGTTGCTAATTGTTGTTTTCGTAATGCTCTAATGTTTTCTAAATAATTTTTAATCTGTCTTTAACTGGTCTTGTCATATTTTATATAATTTTAACCATTGTGCCATGTATCCAGCTCTCACCATGTTACTGGACGTTTCCCTCATCCTATACGAAAACAACAATTAGCAACATCCTCACATACTACTGTAAGTTGATTCAATTTAAATTCATTTTACACTTTTGTTGCTACTGTTATCATTGTAATTGCAGCTCCTGATGATGACGGCAAAGTCCATTGAAAGCTAGAGAGAATTAAAAAAGTATAAAGACTCCTCTTTGCTTAAATTTTGTCGAAGTACCCAACAAAAGGCGGAAGCTTTAATTTTTCACCTAACTGGTCTAGACGACAATGACCACGTCTCAAGTTATATATATATATATATATATATATTGGTTTTCTGTTTTCTACACAATTTGTATTAATTTTCGTCACAGAAAGTTGTTTCGCTTGCATTTTTCACGACGTAACGCAAACTTAGGAAGCGGAAATCGACATGTAATGCATCGGTGACAAACATCGAGAAAGTTTGCGGGAGAAACGGACATCGAAAACAAAAATGTTTAATGAGCTTCGGCTATCTTGCTATTGGTATTTCAACGTGTACGCCTAATGATGATTGTGCGATTGAATATTTCATGCTATGATGAGTTTTTATTAATCATTGTATTGTTTAAAGTTGAATCGCGACGTATGAATAAGGCAATTAGTATGTTATGAGTATTGATGTGTCTATCACATTTACGCAGACTTTCATTTCGATAGTTCGAGATCCCAAGTTTGGTTCTCTTGTAAAAACTGCTGCTAAGGTTTTCCGCGTAAATCGGGTACCAAGGTTCCGAATCTTACGTCATTTTGACGCTAGATATCATGGGAGATCCCAACCAACATCTTTTAATGACCATGTCTATACCGTGACTGCTAGTGCTGCTCTAAGAGCCGTATCATCCTACGGTTGTAGGATGCCTTTATGACCTTCTTGATTTTCATTGTATTTTCTCTCCTTCAGAAAGACTAGGGTATTTCTAGGTTTCTACTGTTCGAAGTCAGCTTCGGCGGTCTCCTAGTGTGAGGTTATGTTTTCTTTTTGAAATATAGTTTAATTTCAGGCTGTTAAAACAGATGATAAATATATAACATAACCTCAAAATGCAGCGCTGCTTTTCTGAAGGACAGGAAAAACTATGAAAATCAAGGAGGCCATAAAGACGCCCTACAATTGTAGGAACGACTGACGATACGGACAGCGCACGGTGTTAATGAACTATATAGTATTACGTCGTCTTTTAGCACTGAAGATTAACGCATCGAATATCATAGTCCTGTGACTCCAGTGGCTAGGTACCCATGATTAAACATGGCTCCTAAGTGTTCCAGGTTTCATTCACTTGCACACCTATACTCCCCACGTATCTGTCATCTTTTGGAAAACACATTTTCTGGATAAATAGAGTTAGTGGATTTTGTATCCCTATGTCAGTTTAACCCATGGATCCTGAATCATTTTAACCCCAAATATTTCACGTATAGCCTCTGTATTCTGGGTTCGTTACCATATGATGCACATATCTTGATACAACATATATTTTCGTGTTATAAAGATCATAAAACGTTGACAACCAACAAAGCACCCCGAATCAATTTGCCTATAAATTCATTATGATTTCTCGCCTTCCCGCACCAGGACAACAACTCATGAGATTTTCAAATTTAAGTTCCTCAAGAAAACGTTTCAAATGCAGGTTGTACCGAATCTAGGATACCTCGCTTTTTTTTTCGCTCTCACCGTCAAAATCAACATGACCTTGAATTGACGTTGTAAAGTTCATGATCAAGGACAACTGGATAACCATCACTTTTACGTGCGCTTGTGAGGCGAACTGTCCTCTTGAGAGATTTTTTTTGCGTTCTCGAATAACTCGTGTCAGATTCATTTCAGTATTAACGTATAAAAAAAAGTTTGCCTTTGAATTGACCTTGCAAGGATCATGACTAAGATGCGCATGACATCTCACCACACTTTCTAAAATTTAAATGAAATGTTTTCTACAGTATCACAATTCTCCGAGTATTTGCTATGAGAACTACAATCGACACATTCACCATTTTTGCAAACCAGGCAAACGTCCTCCCCCCTCTATTTTTCAGAAACTAATTATAGGAGTGCTTTGGTCCCATTATGTTGTTCAGGAAAGCGAGAAATAAGTCATGCTTAATTTTTAAACATATCGACTGGGATCGATTTTCCAGATATTTTGTGCGGTGTCCATTAAACTGCTGTTTTTAATGGAATCCATGTAGTTTGAATAAAAGCTTAATGCAGGAATCAGTACAAGACGCTCTCTATCATTTCGATCATCTTTTTGCTCGATACCGTTTCTGAAATTGTACCGCTTTCAGTTCGACGTCGTTTATGAGTGTGACAAAGTTGGACAAAAACCAGGAATTGGAAGAGAAATTCGAACCGATTTTTGGAGAGAACTTCCACATAGTTTGCATGTGCTTGATTATCTTGTGGTCCCTGTTGCACAGGTTTGCCATAAAGTATTAAGGCAGGAGAGGAGATGAGCTAATTGGTGAAGATTCTCGCCATGTTGGATTTTTGCGTATATAGAAGTAGAAGCCGTAGTTGAGGATAGAGGCGGGTCTAAAAATATGTTTGAGAGCATCTTATTATGAATTTGAAGTTATGTGCTCAAAAAAATGCTTTGAGGGGAGGTGCTCAGGATTCGTGTTCAAAAAGATGTCCATCTCGGAGGGGGATCCGCCATTAAAATTTTAAAGTTTGGAGGGGGGTCGTCTGGAAATTGAAAAACACTTCAAAAATTTTCATAGTTTGATATTGCAGAGAGGAGTCCGGAACCGTCACCGTTTGAGCAGATACCAAAGAATAATAGTGAGGCAATTTGGGTCCCACGTTTTACCTATCTTCAGTTTGCAGATGTTTCCTTAAGTCATGAAAACAACTTGAGGAGGTTGAATATGATTTACTATACTATAACTATCTAAAACTGTAATGCCTCATCGATGTTCACCTGAACATCACTTAACTACCGGTAGTCGGCTGTTCATAGGCGGGGTATGAATGTTTAACATGGGTGAACTAGATTTGTCACATGCTTAATAAAGAGTGGTTTGAAACATATTGTAAGTCAAAAATTTGGGAATTACCTTTATTCATCGTCGCTTCCACTTACATCTGACAGTAATGAACTGTCGCTATCGCGTTCCTCGTTGAAATTGACTATAACTGGCTCTATGATGGTGTCGATGTGGTGGTCAAGCTGCCACATTTTTGTTTCTTCCTTCACAACATGACGGATAGCATTCTGCCAAGCTTCGGGCGTTACTAGCTGTATGGAAGTCTCAAGTAAAACCTTAACGTCTGGTAATTTGAAGGTTGTGTTATGGCGCGCAATATAACCCTTCACTTGAGCCCAGATGAGCTCTATTGGGTTCAGTTCACAGTGGTAGGGCGGTAACCGCAGCACAGTGACACAACATTGACGGGCCATCTCATCAGTCACGTAACTAATGTTCGCAGGTTTGTGCTGTTTAATTTTTTCATACAATTCCGCTTTCACGCATGAATCGTCAAACGGGATTCCTTTTTCGCGCAGCCGTTGCTGCATGTCACTTTTTCGAGATCCCATAGTCGGTACATGTTCGGCTCGACGACTAGGGTAGGAAGCATTATCCATGACGATCACAGAGTTGGGCTCAACTCGCTGAAGCACCCCTTGAAACCAGCTCTCGAAGCAGCTAGCATTCATTTCGTCATGGTAATCACCTCTTTTCTTAGAGACGAAAATCAAGTCACACTCTTCTAAAAAGCCACTATCGCTACCAATATGAGTTACGATCAATCTTTGACCTTTCCGTGACGGTCCACGAAGACCTGTTGACAAACCTTCAATGCTTGCTTGTCGGTTACTCACTACGTTTTTGTCTATCCAGGTTTTTTTAACTGTGTGACCTGCATTTACCCATGTCTCGTCCAAATAATAGATTTTTCTGCTTTGTCGCCTATATTCAATCATTTCGCGTAGGTATTTTCGACGCCAGGCGACTATTTCAGGTCTCTCTATCAATACTGACTTCCGATTACGCGTTTCGTAACGAAAATTAATTTCGTGCAGGGATTTCCTCATTACCTCGACGCTCATTTGGGGTATAATTTCATTTTCCTTGATCGCTGCATGTACAGCCTTGAGGGTTGGTATCTCATTCATAAAGAAGAATGAATGTACGGTTCGCCTTAACGCCATTTTGCTATCGTCATCCAATTTAACGGCCTTTCGTCCCATATATATATATATATATATATATATATATATATATATATATATATATATATATAGTGCATATGCGCAAACATCCAACTCGGTGAGAGCTTTTCCAACGAAAAACTGACCAAATCAACCTATAGATTACGCCTACGAAACCTCAGAATATAAACACCATTGACCTAACGGTCCCTTCCGTGGACGTGACGAAAATATCAAGAAGGCCGCCCAGAGCACCTCGCCATACTGACCTACATGAAAACACTCCTCGCCGACGAAGCTTTTGCATTTCCTTCGAAAGGATTATCAGACCAAAACTAATTGACTCGTTTGATGAAACACGTGACAGTAATGCGGTACCATTTACAACATGTCTAAGACTGAAAGGTACCACACCAAACCGCTCATTAAGAAGATATACGAGACACCTAAGAAATGGCTGGGAATCGAGAAAGAAAACCACGTCGGCAATAATAGAGTTAAGAGAGATGTTAGAAAGGAATGCCATACTTATGAAAACGTACAACTCGGAAATAATGATGAGAAGAAAAAAGAAATCGTCACAGATCATTTTGGATGGAAGCAAGTGCAAGTTGAAACTAAACATTCTGATAAGTTGAAGATCGTTATTGATAATTTTGATAAGATTCTCGATGAGTACAGTAGTATAGAAGAACCAAGTGCCACATCTACACCTGCCAAACCTCCAGTACAAAAATCGGTATCTAACCCTCCAACAACTAAAAGAGACACAAAAATCCCAAAACTGGTGAAAGCAAAAACGTGCAGCATCATAGAATCCAAATGCATTCTCAAAAAGTCGATCTCTAACCCTATGAATAAAGTTTCTACGCAACCAGAACCGAATAAATTGCAAAACAAAACAAAAAGTTTATGCAACATAAACCGAGATGATACGGTAGAGCGTGTAACAAGTGAAACTCGATGCGAAACAAGTGAAAAACGGCCCAGCGACAATAAGGTGAAAGAGATCATCAACCGAATCAACAGCATGAGCACTGCTACAGACACACCCTTGAAAGAAAGCGAGACTTTCGCCATATCCAAGGCTAAAAGCACCGTGGATCTTAGTGCGAATAAGAAAATGACGGTGGCTGCTTGTAGCAAAATTCCTGTGAATACTACGTTGAGGAAGACGTATCCCAGCATTCCCTGCGATCTACATAGCTTAGATTTGGACAGGAGCAGTGCTGATGACAAAACGATGAATGGAAAATTTGCAAAGAGTGTTCAGAATCTTTCCAAAATGAGCACATTCAATAGTAAACTGACTAAAAGTACTCAAAATCTGACTCAGCCTAGAATGTCATTACCAAGAAGTGATGAATCTACTAAGAATGGTTCAAATAGTCCGATGAACAGTAAGCATGCTAAAAGTACACAGAATTTATCAACAAGCAAGTTGTCGGTTGCAAAAGATGTCGATAAAAGAAATGTGGATACAACTAAACCTCCTAATATGATGAACAGTAAACTGACCAAGAGTGTTCAGAATTTGACGCAGTCCAAACCATTGTTATCTAAGTCTGATATCAATGCGACTAGAACTATGAAAAATACTGTCAGTCAGAATGGGACGCTTGCTAAAAGTGTCCAAAATTTAACTCATCACAAGACTCCGTTGTCAAAAGTTGATAGTGGGATGACTAAAAGTACTCAGAATTTGTCAAATTCTACTGCCAGGCTACCTTCGAGCAAGACTCAAGGTATGAAGAATAATAAAGTGATGTCGAAAAGCGTTCAAAATATCTCTAAAATGATGGATAAACCAAGTTTAAATAAATCAGCGAAATTAACGAATACGAAGGCTGCGCCTAGAGATTACGTCAAAGTTGAAACAAAATTGAAGACACAGCCTCCTAAAGTGATCGATGATGACAAAACCAAGCAAAAACCAATCTTAAAGGAAGTTAGTGACCAAGGCACGTACAAGGTTGTTAAGAACAAATGCAGAGATGTTGTTGATGGTGATGTAATCAATACTAAGCCACCATTAGCTAGAAGCGATAGTGGAAGTAGAATTGCGAAGGAAATTGAAACGAAAACAAAGCCAGTTATCGCAGAAACAAAACAGAAATGTACAATAACGAAAAGTGACAGTATTGACCCTATCAAAGTAAAAGAAGATAGGATACGAAGCGTTATACAGAAGTTTGAAGAAGCGGAATCTGTCAAACCGTGCGGAAAGCCGAAATTGTTGAAAGATGGTACTTATAAGATACCGTTAACAAATAAAATAACATCTGCAACCAAGGCAATTATCCCAGATGCTAAAAAAGATATGATAACAGCCACTAACGGTGGCACGTATAAGAAAACCAAACCAGATACCGTCAAATTAAACTTGCAAACAGCTAAAGACTTTCTCGACAAAATAAAAGTGGAAACTAAAGATGACAAGAAATACTACTTCGATCCTCAACACTTCCTGGACGAAAAAGTGGAAAAAGTCATAAGTTATCTTAAGGAGGATGGTAAGATTACAGAAAACGCTGACGTGGCTTTAGATAAGAATAAGCATTTGGATTATAACTCTGACAACTCGGATGATTCTGGAAATATCTCAAACGAAATTGAACTGGACTGTGACGATACGCACTCTTCTTCTTCCATCAAAAGTTCGGAGTCTTTGTCGACCGTTCTGGACGTTTCGGTTGCTGAAAAAGATAGTGGAGTGCATCTTTCGAAAAGTGAAGTTCCATCGGGAGAAAGCGATCAGGTACAGTAATTCTTTTTTATTTTTGTGAATTGGTGCATACTTTGTTGATATTAGGTGAATGTATTTTCTTAATTTAGGTATTTGCGTCGTTGATTAGTGGATGATATGAGACAAAATAACTAGGAGATTCTTTAAAGTTACCAAAACAAAAACTGTGATTGCAACGGAAGTATTTTCTAAAAAAATTAATACGGAATATCTATATCTTGCCTCCAAAAAGTATATTCTAAATGATTTCAATTTTTAAGTGAACGAAAGATTGTCATAGTCATTTATTTCCCATAATTATTATACCTTCATAATCAGCCCTATCCTAGAGAAAGATGGAAAATAAAGATTACCCACTGAAATCTTCAAAGAAGATTTCTGAGCAGGAATGTTCGAACGAAAAGATTTGTATCAAAGTTGTGGCGTACTAGGTTCTAGGCTTCCGTCAGATGTAGGTTTAACAATCTTTATTCTCTGTGTTTGACATGACGGCTATTAGCCGATTCTTTGGACGGAAATTTTAAATTCTTGAAAAGTGGATGTAGTAGTCTATTTCAGCTATCAAAAATGAAATTTTCTCTAGGTATAGAATAATCCTATTTGTCATCCGTCAGAATTAAGATGTGTTAAATATGCTTGCTTCATATCAAAAGAGATAGGAAGACCCAATATAATTTTAAAACCTCTTTATATGCAGTGAAAGTAAAAAGATATCATTATTTTTCCATTCAGTTTATCTAGCTATTCTTTTGTAGGTTAATGCCTACCTTGTAGACGATAATTTTATAATTGATGATGAATGTTTTTCATTCATAATTTCTTAATATAATCCATATGCCAGTCCATAATTATACAGTACTATCAAATTTTCTTTCATGGTGGAGAGTCACTATTAAATTGTAGTCTGTCCACACTTAACATGTGTTAAGAGTAAACTTACTAATACTTTGGCTATCTGAGCAACAATTTTATTATTATCTTTAATTCCCCATATTTGTACGGCCGCTGAATGAAACCACATATTTTTGAAATACTTTTGTGTAGCTTATTTGACAATTATGACATTATATTTTGTTTATCTATCCTCCGGATGACACTTCGTTTGTTTGTTTTTATTTTGACATTGTAATACAGTGTGTTACTACTATAGTCAGAACGGCACTGTAACATGCTGAGATTGCACCGCGAAAATTAGCAAAGCCCAGAACCACCTGGTGCAGATATTCTCGCTCCCAAAAGGACTTCCAATCCTCCAAAGAGACAAGGGAGCATGAGGATATCTGTCGTTTTTAATGTACCAGACACGTCACCCTCGTCCACCGTCCCGAAAAACGCCAAAGGTCATCTGCAAATGCGCAAACCCATTGTTGTAACACACGGGTTAATTCTTATGCTATGTTGCACTACAAATAGTACTTGGACATCATCTAAAGAGAACCATGTTATTTGACCTGAGAGGAAGTAATATAGGACACAACAGTTTGGCCTTGAGATGGCGAAGTAAAACATCTGCGCATTTGACGTCCAATGACAAATCATAAGAAAACACCTTGAAGTAAAAAACCTGTAACCCATTGGTTAGGATGGAGAATATCAACTAGATCTTTCCTTCAAGGATACATAAGTTACGATTCCAACATAACAAGTTGAATACGCATGTACTTGCAGCTTTTTTTAATGGAAACGCACCTGATTCGATGTGTGCATCATTTTGTCTGCAGAAAAATCTCGGGCACATGTTGCAAACTGCGCCGACCCGTGCTGCAGTACACATTTTTTGTAATGGAGACATACATTGACTGGTGTCTCACCTTGCTGTATCAGAGGAAATTGGAGGAGGCATTTGGCTTTATAGGAAATAAATGTCAATAAACAAATAAATGATTTTGCACAATGGACTAATGAATATCAGATTGGTTAATCTTGATGGCAATCCTTCTGAAACAAAACAAATTATGAATTATGTATTCGACACAGCATAAGGCGTTCTTTCTTGAATGAGTCACAAATTGCGTCAACAGTCCATAAATATCGTTAAGTGGCCTTTTAGCATATTATTTTTTATAACTGTATAAATGCAACAGACATCAGATAAACAATATCTAATCCGTAACGTAAAACACCACGCAAAATGGATATCACATATTTTCTATGAAAAAACCAGAATGATAGAAATGTTCGTTTGAACATTTACAGTATGTTACCACGAGCATTATTCAAACTGTCACATTATTTTGGGTGGTGACATTTTAGATCTGTTGGCGATTCGATACGCAAACTTGGTCAGATTGTAATTTTGCTCTCTAAAGGGAATTTTCCAGTACAAATGTCAAGAGAGTATTTTCGTTGCCATTAGCCGCCAGACATTCTGAGTGCCTCAGGAAGAGCATCATGAAAGTAGATTCCATAGTAGCTGGAACCGTTTCTAGTTCTTTGTAGACGATGCTTAGGAATACATATCTAACTTACGCATGTTAAGTATATTGTAACTATGTACCTCAGTGTGCATTTTGTGTAAATCTAAATTCTTAAATACATAAAGTAAGCAGATAAATATACAGACTTTGAAGTTGAGTCATTAATTTTCAGATAATGATTGTAGAAGGAAGATAAACCAAAATATGTGTGTAAAAATAAAAAAAAAAATGTTACCTTGTTTTATAAAGTATCCTCCCGACAAGTATTTCAGTGCGGACCTGTATTTGATCGTGCGGTCTTGGAGCACCGGCATGCCATCCCCTGTGAGGTCTTAAGTCACCTGATTCACGAGCCCTTTGTACTACATTAACAAAGGCACGAGGGGTTGGTTGCACTCGATTGGGAAACGGATCCGCATAAATCCGTGCTGCCGCGTAAATAAGAATCATGTCCACAAGTTCAGCATTTTCGTAAACATGTGCCATTTTTGATTTCGTTTGAGCCACGCAACAGACACCACTATTCACTCACGCGTTACCGACTGACACTGACTGTATACAACTGAATGAAATAATTGTAAAAACATCGTTCCAAATTCTTTCGCTTTTTTGTTTCCGATGCGATGAACCGATAAGGCGGATTATATCCGTTGTCACCAAACACGAGCACATAATATTATTATTGAAACAGGGCGGTACTCAAACTTCCAAAGGGCTATAACTTTGTTACTTTAATTTTACCAGAAAAATGGTAAAGGAAAAAAACATTTCTTTTGATCAGATCTACTCACTGTTAAAATAAATGACTCAACTTCGAAGTCACCCTGTAGATATAGATGGAAAAGTAAGGATTTTTGGGTTGATGACCTTCGATGACTTTGATGCAGCGCCTTGGATGTGCAAGTACTTTACGAATATACTGACCCCAGTTCAACAGTGCATGTGACATTCTTGAGTGGAAGTATCCATAATATGTGGTTAGCAACGTACCACCAGAAACGCAGCTTTTCAGATTCTTAATTGAAAAAATGGTCTTGGATAGTTCCCTTAGAATATTCTTCACATGTTCCTCCCAAGTGTGTATCAATACTGACATCCAAAAATGTCTATGGTATAGATGTTATGATGACACAAACTTATGACCATGGGCTGTGTCTTTGAAGCATTATTTGCTAAAAAACAATTATCTAAATTATTTGTATATTCGATATTCGCATAATAAAGTAAATCAAATGATTTGCTACTACAGAGCATTGATTTGTCATGGGCAAACAGTATAATAACGTTTTTGTTTGTATTACAATTAAGAAGGTCATTTACGTATACTAAAAATAAAAATGGCCCCAGCACATATCCTTGTGGGACGCCACATAAAACTGTCGTAGTACTGGGGTAGTGTTGTTGAAGGTTATAAATTGATGTCTGTTGCTCAAATAAGATGTACTATGGAACTTATAATGCGACAATTTTTGTAGAAGAATGCAATGCTGGACACAGTCCAAGGCCTTAGTAAGCTGTCAGAAACTAGAGAAGTAAACTAGTCAGTAAATAGGTTGTATCTTTCATAATAGTCAATTAGTTGTTCTCTCAAAAGAATCTCAAGTATCTTAGCAATTACGGGTATAAGTGAAATACGTCTATAATTTGAAAGATAATTGGAATCGCCTTTTTTGAAGAGTGATAATTTTGACAGTTTATAAATATCAGAAAATGTACCATTTGAAATACACCAATTGAATAATTTTTTCATTGTTATCCGCCGTGCTTTTCTTGGCGGAGACAAAAATCTCAGAGACTGCACCGATTAACCATCTCAACTTCCCAAACTACGAGGTGCACTCCAATCTAAGAAAGAACGGGGGAGTTGTGGCTTTTGTCCGCAGCAGTCTTTCCTGCTCCAGGGATCTTTCTTTGGAATCAGACCGAAAGGACATTCTGTGGCTTCGCCTCAACTCCAAAACATCACCCAAATATATTTGCTGCCTTTATCGCTCTCCCTCGAACCATAACTGGGATGACCTACTCGAATACCTCGCCGTCCAGATCGACTTCCTGAACGTCAATCACCCCGCTTCAGAGGTAGCTCTTCTCGGTGATTTCAATGCCCATAATGAGCTTTGGTTGGGCTCAAATAAGACCGATGCAGCAGGTCGTGCAGTCGAAGCGTTCGCTCTTACTCAAGGGCTGACCCAGCTGGTGACGACTTTTTTCCCCCGCGTCTCGTCACACGCCAGTAGCCTGCTGGATCTCTTTCTGACCACGCATCCTACCCCTTACAGCACTGCTGTCCTGTCCCCCCTGGGTAACTCAGATCACGGTGTTGTGGAGGTTAGGTTTCGGTGAGAAGCCGCTGTGGCAGCAGAAACTCGCACAGGCCGCAAAACTTGGCATTACGGACATGCCGACTGGGAGGGGCTCAGAGACTTCTTCTCTAGCTTTCCTTGGAGAGATGTCTGTTTCACTGACGCGGATGCGTCGACTGTCTGTTCTTCAATAACCGAAATTATCCACGTCGGAATGGAGGAATACATCCCTCACACAGTGAAAGTTCCTAAACCAGGGCCCAACGGCTGGTTCAACAAATCGTGTGACACTGCTCGCCAGCAGAAGATCAAGGCCCACAGAACCTACTTACAAAACCCCACTGTAGAGAACAGACAAGCCGACGTCGCCTCCAGAAACAAATATAACGAAGCGGTACGCAATGCCAAAACCCAGCATGATATAAAAGTTAGGCACAGGGTAATGTCGCAGCGCAATGGCAGTCGGTCTTTCTGGACGCTGGCCAAGCAGATTGAAAAGAACTTCTCCCACAGTAGCCTTCCACCACTTACGTGTCAGGATGGAACTATTGTATTCGACTCAAAGGCCAAGGCGGAAGTGCTAGCCAAGATCTTTGCTGCCAACTCCACCATGGACGTCCCCACCAACGCCCAAGTGCCGTCAATTCAAAGGGTTCCCCACACTATGCGGGAGGTAACATTCAGGCATAAGACTGTAAGACGAGTGCTCTTGTCGCTCGACATCAACAAAGCTTCTGGTCCGGACTTGATTCCTGCCATTGTACTAAAGAGATGTGCAGCGGAGCTTGCTCCAGTTCTTTCGCGCCTCTTCCAGATATCTTATGAATCCGGCACCTTCAACTACAGGCCTATAGCTCTGCTTTCTGTTATAAGTAAAGTGATGGAGAGGTGCATAAATCGCGAGCTTCTAGACTACCTCGAACGTCACAGCTTGATTAGCGACAGGCAGTACGGTTTCCGGCACCAACGATCCACAGGGGACCTCCTAGCTTACGTCACGCAACTGTGGAGTAAACTCATCCAGTCTCATGGTGAGGCTCATGTCGTTGCTCTTGACATCACGAAAGCATTCGATCAGCTGTGGCACGCTGCCCTCTTAAGCAAACTTCCATCCTACGGCCTCGCAGAAAAGCTTTGCAGATGGGTGGCTGACTTTATCTCTGGCCGCAAGATATCCGTCGTAATTGACGGATTCTCCTCTTCATCACACAACGTCAACGCGGGTGTTCCCCAGGGATCGGTCTTGGCTCCAACACTGTTTCTTTCACATATCAACGACCTCCTTTCCTACACGATCAACCCAATCCACAGCTTCGCTGATGACAGCACTCTACATGCAGGAATTCAGAGTGACAAGCCGATGTCTGCCGCTGAGCTGGAAAAAAGAAGACTAGCGACGACTTCTTCTCTGACAAGAGACCTGGAAGATATCACTGCTTGGGGACGCAACAATCTTGTACAGTTCAATGCTTCCAAAACACAGTACTGTACTTTGACGAACAAGAAGCGTCCTAGCGCTCATACAGTTTTGATGGACGGTCGAGGTCTACCAAAGTGCCATTCATTTCGGCTGGTCGGAGTCCAGATCACCGAGGAACTGATCTGGCACGAACACATCTCTTCAATAGCTGCAGCTGCTGGAAAAAAGCTAGGCTATATGTTTAGGGCTAAGAAGTACTTTTCTCCGCATGACCTTCTCACTCTATACAAGGCCCAGATAAGGCCTAGCCTCAAGTATTGCTCACACATTTGGGGTGCTGCCGCCCCGACTACATTGTCCATGCTCGATGCTGTCCAGAGGAGGGCGGTCCGACTGATCGATGACTCTTCTCTAACAGACAGTCTCGGGACTCTTTCGCACCGGCGGGCCGTCGGCGATCTAGCTCTTTTCTATCGCTACACCAACGGGCTTTGCTCCTTAGAGCTCTCTTCCATGATGCCGCCGCGCGATGTGCCTGCCAGACAGACCCGCCTGACTTCGGCGTCCCATCCTAACCGTGTCAAACTTCGTACATCCAGAACTGGCCGATACGACCGCTCCTTTGTTCCGAGGGTGTCTAGATTGTGGAACAATCTACGGGAGGAAGCTTTTCCCAGTTCTACTAACCTTAGGCAGTTCAAAAATCGTATTAACAGAATTTCTTTGGGATCATCATAGCAGCTGCGGTGTTCCGGCATTTAGGCTTTGGCCTGCGCGGCTGTTTCGATATAAAAAAAAAATAAAAATAGGGATTTGAGTGGTTGTAATAATTTTGGCATTGAAACCGAACCGGTATTGAAATTTACATGAAGATCCCTGAAAACGGCGTTATAAACAACATTTTTCTCTTGTTACAGATCTTTTTCCGCACCGGCGCCCTCTCGCGTTTGGAATCCGAACGCGACGACCGCCTCTGCGCATGCGTAACCAGGCTCCAGGCGCGATGCCGCGGACACCTCGCGCGCAGGCGCTTGGCGAGGCGCAGGTTGCAAGAGACGGCGGTGCGATGCATACAAAGGAACGTGCGCAGGTTTGTGGACGTCAGGGATTGGCCATGGTGGAGGCTGCTGGTCAGGCTTCAGCCGCTGTTGGACGTGCATCGGACCGAGCAGCAGCTGAGGGCTAGAACGGTAAGTTATCGATGTTGAATTATAGCTACTAGCATAACAAAAATGATGTTTGTGACGAATCGTCATTTGGCGCCGTGAGATCCATGTTAAGGTTCTTTGAGGATATTAAAAAGGTGTTGAAGGTAACTACAGCGTCCAGATAGACAATCGACGAATGGTAGTAAGATATCTGTGTGGCGTTTAGCATCGCAACAAGGAGGCGGTGGCGCGTCAAGAGCGGGTTGTCCTCTTCATTACACAACATCAGGGATCGGTCTTGGCTCCGACAATGTTCCTCTTACATATCAACGACCCCTCTCTTGTACCTTTTCTGTGACACCACTCTGCATGCATGAATTTAGAGTGAGATGCCGATCTCTGCCGGTGAGCTGGAGGAAAGAAGACTAGCAGCGATTTCCTCTCTGACCAGAGGCTTGGACGTTATCACTGCTTGGGGACGCAACAATCTTGTACCGTTTAATGCTTTCACAACACAGTACTGTACCTTAACCAACAAAAAGCGTGTGCTTATCAGGTTTTGATGCATGGTCGAGTATCAGAGGCTCGTAAAGATAACACAAGTTTGATCTGACATGAACACATGACCTCCTCTCATTGTGTACAAGGCCCAGATAAGACCCATCTTAGTATTGTTCACATATCGGTTGTATCACTTGTGGGTTCTAAATACAAATACAGGGTGTCCGCAAAGTTGGGGTTTTCCTTTACACGACGTGTAGATCTTGAAAACATAAGCAATTTTTCTTAGTACCATATACACCAATGTCTTAAGGGAACCGAGATAAAGGGCTCTGCAACATCAAAAATATCTGAATACCGGCCTGTAGCCGCGACCCGGTACATCACCGATTGGTACAAGGTCTCAACCCGACGGCAGAACTGGGTCGGGGTCAGTGTGTCAGGTGAGTATGCAACCTTCAACCGACGGTTACGGTCACGCATGTTGAGGTAATCGCGTAGACGAGAATCCCTCATCAAGCACTAGAGACGTGGCTAGAGAAGTGCAAGTATCAAAAACTAAAGTGTGGCAAACGCTGCGTGAAGAGGGGCTGTGTCCGTTTCACATCCAACGTGTACAAGCCCATCAACCTGACGATTTTCCAGCAAGAGTGCGGTTTTGTCAGTGGTTGTTGCATCAACATGACAATAATCCGGACTTTTTGAAGTGCATATTGGTGACAGACGAATCTACGTTCACGCGTAATGGGGTGAATAACTTTCGCAACACTCATGTTTGGTCAGTAGAAAATCCGCACGCTGTCCGTCGGGCACATTTTCAACAAGCATTTTCGGTGAATGTTTGGGCTGGCATGGTGAACGGTATGCTCATTGGACCAATTAGTCTCCCAAATCGATTGGACGGGATGCAATACCTAGACTTTTTACGCAACATTTTGCCTTCCTTGTTTCTGCGTCTGCTCGGTAGCGCATCAGCTGATTTCATTTTCTGTTGGAGCGGTCTGATTTCGGGCAGAGACGTACTTAGCCCTCCTCGTCAACTGGAGAGTGAGTACTTTTTCCTTTATTTTTTTTTACTTGGTCGCCATCGTTTCACTACACATTACCTTTGTTATTTCAAGGGTAGTTGTTTCTGAAAAGGAAAACCCCAACTTTGCGGACACCCTGTAGAGCGACTCTTAAGGCGTGTAATCAAAGGTGGAAGTATGGGGAAGAACTCTCGGGGGCTGCGAGAATATCACTGCGGGCTTATAGCGATTTTATCCAAATTGCGGGTCGCAGTAATACTCGAAATTCTTGCGATTTTAGCGAAGCTCACTCACTTGAGGGTAGCCATGAAATGTGGAGAGGTACGCTATGAGAGGGTTCTGGCAATAACCTTTCTTGTGCGGTCTAGACAGGGGATTTAGCACAATCAATCAGTATGGACTGAAAAATCTGGGAGAAAACTCAAAGGGAGCAATCAAGCTTCGGTCTGTATATCTCTAACATGCTGACAAAGATTACGTCAGGACCTGGAAGCGTTTTTAGCGACGAGCACCTACTGGACCCACTTGATGGCTTTATGTCTGGATATTTTGGAGAATAACGTATGTTCTAAAAGTTTTGGCACAAAAGTCATTGGCTTTAATTTTAACAAACACAAAATAATATCAAGTTGCTTACTTTACTCTCAGTTGACATATGTTTATTTTGAAGCTTTCGCTTTAAGATGGCGTATAAATTAGGAATGAGAGAAAGTATCTACAAGTTGATTGGGCGGGTACCCAAAGCTGAAATTGTCGAATATTCCAGAATGAAAACATTTCACGCAGAACCATTTATCGAACAATAGCGGAGTGCGAGTAGGGAATACCGTGTCTGAATCTCCTAAAAAGTGGAAGACCACGTACATTTATTGCACAGAGGTCAGAGAAATTGGCGAGGAGAGCAAAAAATCGGGTTGGAAAGTTAACAGGGAGACTGGCTCATCAATACAGATCTTCTGAGGGTAGATCTTTGGAATTGAGGAGAAATGGTCTTATATATCGAAAAAGTGCCCCAAATACTCTTCGTATTCCAAGATGCCGTCAACTGAGGCGGGTACACTTTGCCGGCAGAAAAATCATTATTTTAGATGACAACTTTGAGTAATTCTGATGTTAGATACAAACATAAAGCAAAATTTGCAGATAAAATCCTTGTCTGGTGCGCAATTTCTAACAGGGGTGTATCCCAACCTTTTGTGGGAAGAGTGAGGGATGAAGCTCAGAGCTATATCGATAACTGCCTTTCCAAATTGATTTAGTTTATCCACGAACTTCATGCTAATGACCATATCATGTTTTGGCCAGACCCAGCATCATGCCATTACTCAAGAGATACCCAAAATTAGCTTCAACACACAGCGTACCTTTTGTTCCCAAAAACGGTAATTCTCTAAACTTGCCGCAAGCTCGCCCAATAGAGGATTTATGGGCTTTACTGTCTAGAAAGGTATATTGTGGAAGCTGGGAAGCCCAAGGTGACGAATAACTAAGACTGCGAAAAACTGAGAGAAATTGATCTGAATTCCGTCCAGGACCTCATGAGAGATATTCGAACAATGTTGGGTCTGGTCGAGCAGAATGGGCCACTCCACATAATTCGATAGTATAGTTTAATTAAGTATTGAGTTTGTATTTTATGATAACTAGTTAGTGTTTAAATAAATTTCATTAAAAAAGATCCGATAAATATTTTGTGGCAAAACTTTTAAGACATACGTTACTTCAACCTTAGCCTTGAAGTCCAGGCATGTCAGCGATGAATACTATACTAAGTGACATATAAATCCGAACACCCAGTTTAAATGGTTTTATTTTAATAAAATTTTGTATAAGTACTTAATGAAGCATAATAAGTAAATGATAAAAATTTCAAAATGATTGCACTGCTTTAAAGCCCTTTGACCTTTAATAATGTGTGGATGCACCCTGATGTGCTACGCATTCTCCAACGCGCCTAGGCATGCTTCTGATCAGGTGGTCAATGTCCTCCTGTGGTATCTCATTCCAGGCAACCACCAACTCCTCTCGAAGTGCTTCTAGAGTCTGAGGAGGACGTTGCAAATTGAGCAATCTCCTACCCATCATATCGCACACGTGCTCAATTGGGGATAAGTCGGGAGATCTTGGTGGCCATGGTAATAATGTGACATCATTATGTTGAAAGAAGTCGATTGTGACTCTTGCAACATGTGGTCGGGCATTATCTTGTTGGAAAGTTGGATCTGCCAGGGTGTTCTCGAGTTAAAGGGCCGGTATGAAAACAAGCCAAAACTTGTCATTCGTCGGTAAACACTTCGCATGCCAATAGGTCTTCCGTGTTCTGCAAACCATTCATTTGCAATGGACCTGGTAGTGGAGAAACGGTCCCTTAAGGCCAATAATCTTAGGCGGCGATCTTCACGGTCTGTTGTTCTACGGCGGCGTCCAGTGCCCCGTGCTCTTTGCGTACGGCTTTCTCGAAGCCATGCCTGACAACACCTAACCACAGTGTCTACACTTCTTTGAAAGTCCAGCTTCCCGAAGTCCCACTATACGGCCCCTATCAAACTCACTAAGTTGACGAAATCGTACAGGTCTCCGTACTCTAGGCATCGTAACCGATCGTAAAGGATGTCTAGAACCAAAATCCGCCAACGTTGATTCTTTACTGCGGCTGAAATATTCATTTTTAGAGCGTTGGTGAATTAAAAAAAATCAGTATAAACACCGGAATGTCCAAGTGATAAGGCTGAACATTTTTTCACTTGTTATTTACAGTAAGATAAATACATTCACCAACTTTTATTAAAATAAAACCATTTAAACTGGGTGTTCGGATTTATATGTCACTTAGTATACTCTAATAAATTTCATACCATGCATTTGTCCTTCTCCGAGAAAGATCGACCGTTATAGCCGTCTGCCGCGACACTGACCGAAAAAATCTCTGCTACCAACCTTTTCCCAGTCATTATAACCAGACTGCCAAATTCTAAGGCCGAGTTAAGATTTGTTACAACTGGCTCAGATTCGAACGTGTCCTCTACAATACCGTGGTCCAAGTTACTCCAGGGGATCTGGACAGCGGTGCTGTAGAAAGCAGAATGCATGATCTGAAAGAGATCTTGCAGATTGCTGATGTGCGATGAAACGCGAGGAAAGTAGCTGACTTAGCTAATTACGACCATCTTTTGTTGTCACTTTAAAAACGAAATAAAAGTACTATAATTAAGGCAACCATAGTGACTGTATAAGTTAATAAAGACAAATTCATTGAGCTGTTTAAAGAATCACCAGTGAAAAAATCTCAAATTTAATTATGGCATCAAAATCGACCATCAACTTGACCTTAGAAAAGACAAGCTCGTGCATGACCTCCTACGATCGCATCGTTCGACTCATTGATCTGAAGCAGCCGCAGATCTAGTTCATATTTCTTATAATAGAAATTGCAAATAGCGACATTGGTCACCTAGCGGTCACGCTTCGCAATTTCCCAATAGTATATTTACGATAGTACCGGAGTGTAAAGACC